ATACGAGTATATACTTAGTCAGATCTTCGACTTACTCTCGGGCACAAAAATTCCAACCGTAGAGCTTGGGGTTTCGACTGCAAGGGTGTGAATAATTGCATGTGCTCGTAGAATACAACCCGGATTTAATTATTCTTATGTCCTTATGTGATTTATTCGAGGGAAGAATGGTAAGATCATGAAATTTGTTTTAATTGAATTTATATGTTCCTCAAGGTGGGTGAGGTGAACGATGGATTTAGAGCGGGCGGGAGAGCTGAGAAATGTAGGTAACATTTATGCAGAAGAACCTGGAGGAAAGCGAACACTTGGAAGATCTAGACTTAGAGGAAATTTAATATTAAGATGAATGTTAATGAGGAAGAATGTAAGGAAGTGAACTGGTTTCATCTAACTCAGCGTAAGACTTACTGGCGCGATCTTGTGAACACGTTAATGAAACATCAGGTTAAATAAAAGAGGACAGATTTCTTGAATGGATGACCGACTGTTAAATTCTGAAGAACTGTGTTCCATAGATTTAGTTAGGAATGTAAACGATTGTAAAACTACGTCCAAAATAGTCTCAATTAAGATATTCAATTTATGCTAATGAAAATAATGGACAATATTAATTAAGTTTGTAATATAGAGCTCTGTATCTACGTATGAGTCTCTGGGTTGAGTGAATAAAATTTAAAAAGTGATCTCAACTGGTCTGAACCAAGATCCCCCCTAATCCATTTCCTTCCACTGACTCTTTGATATTATCTTGATATCTTAATTCACACATTATATAGAGCCATTTCTGTACCTAAAAGGACATCGTTAAACAACCCATGAGTCAATCAACATAAATTAAATATAAACAACATCTACGTATACTGGATAACAGTTCTAACACTATAATGAATTTATTATTGAGATCTTCCAATTTATTCACATAAATATTTAGTGTGGCGATTTTCACACTTGCTTCTTATTTTTAAGAGAAAGTGTTCGTATTCCTGCTTTGGGCCACTTATCCACTCTGATTTCTCTGCTGGTAGAAGAAAGATATAATGGGCCACAACAAAAATACACGATCTTTTTTTTGCGATTATCGACTCTTCTCATATTTACTCTCGCATATTTTACTCGACACTTATAATCTCAAGAGTTGGTTTAGTGTTTTCAAATATCTAAAGAACAAGCAATTTTATCTTAGATTTTTGCAAATAAAAATCATAAACCTGGAAAAATGCGAGTGGAAATATATATATAGAAATCGGTGAAAAATATAGGAGTTTATGGAGGCTTTAAAGAAGAAGATTAACTATATTGCCGACAATGACAGGTATATTCCGAAGAAAGGCCGTGGAGGCCCATAGGGTTGTGAGAGGTCGAGGCTCCCACATTGTCTAGACAATCGGGTCACAGATGACGGTAAGGTTGTCAGCCTTACGCGCCGGCCGCCCTTTACCCCCAGGAAGATTCCTGGTACTCATTTATGTTAGAGTCTGAGCCGACTCCATGGCCATAGTGCGGCTGGAAGGTTTAGGTCAATTGAAAAATCCAATAACCTCATCGGGATACGATCTCGCGACCTTCCGGCTAGTAGCATAGTGCCTCAACCAAGTACGCTACCGCGTGCCCCCCCCCCACATCGTACCATTCATAAATTTGCTTGGACATCTCCTGATGGAAAATGCACAAATAAATTGACCATAGTTTGATAGACAGGAGGCGACACTCAAGTATACTTGATGTCTGATCATTCAGGGCAGCAGATTGTGATACTGACCACTACCTGGTGGTGGCAAAGGTTAGTGGAAGATTGGCAGTGAGCAAACAAACAATCATAGATTTCATGTGGAGATGTTCAATCTCAGGAAATTAAGCGAGGTATGATGTAAGGAGCAGTTTCATGTTGAAATCTCAAGTAGCTTCACAGATTTGGAAAACTCAGACACTGAGGTGGATATTAATAGAGCTTGGAAAATTGTTAGAGAGAATATCAACATTTCTGTCAAAGAGAGTCTAGGTTATTATGAATTGAAGAAGTAAAAACCATGGTTCGATGAAGGATGCTCAAAACTATTAGACCAGAGGAAACAAGTCACACTGCAATGGTTACAGTATCCAAGCAAATTGTGTAAATGGGGATAATCTGAACAATATAAGACGTGAAACCAGCAGGCATTTCAAGGATAAAAAGAAGGAATACCTGAAAAACAAAATTAATGAGCTTGCAACGAGCAGTAAGAACAAGAGGAATAAATTACTTTAAGAGGGGTTACCAGCCTAGCAGTAACTTAGTGAAGGATGAGAATGGTGATCTGCTTGCAGATTCCCACAATATTTTGAATAGGTGGAAGGACCGCTTCTCTCAGTTATGGAGTGTACATAGGGTCAGTGATGTTAGGCAGACAGAAATACACGCAGTCTTAGCTGTTAGTACCCTTTTGATGGTGAAATTCCTATTGCAAAGTTTCAAAGATAGTCGCCAGTTAGTGATCAAATTCCGGCAGAACTGATTCAAGCAGGAGGTGAAATATTACGTTCTACTCATGGAGCTGAGCCCCTCTAGAGAAGCGGCCAATTGTGCAGCTACTCATGAACTTCCCAGCATTTCTTGAAACCCGAATGTTCATAACCATGTTCACAAAAGCCCTCCACTGGTCCCTATCCTGAGCCACATAATTCCAATACATATCATCCCATCCCTTCTTTCTAATATCCATCAAAATATTATACACCCACCTACGTCTTGGTGTTTGGCTTTCCCACCAATATCTTATGTGCGTTCCTCTTCGCCCCATTTGTGCTATATGCCCTGCCGATCTCATCCTTCTTGACGTGATCATTCTAACTATACTTTGGGAAGAGTACAAGTTATGAAGCTCCCCATTATGCAGTTTTCTCCAACCTCCCGTCACTTCATTTCTCTTCGGTCCAAATATTCTCCTCAACATCCTGTTCTGAAACACCCTGTCTGTGTTCTTTCCTTAATGTCAGAGACCAAGTTACACAATAATACTTTTGTATAAACTTGACTTAGTTTATCCTGGTCTGTCACACCAGTAATTGTATTGAGATTTTTAACCACCGTCCAGTGTGATTTATAAAAGTTGTGTTTTTAACTTAGTTAATAGATATATTTATATCTATATTATGGTAATAGTAGTTTCCATATGTGTTGATATAATCCTTCTGAAAATATTCGTCCTGACCGAAACATGTAAAGGATGAAAAACACGACTTTTATCAGTCACACTGGACGCTGGTCAAAAATCTCAATATATTCTTTTATATTCTAATTTTTATATTTTTAAACAGCAGATAAGAAGAGAAAAGCTTCTGGGGTGAATGGCAGCATTACCCGAGTTCAGTCTCTTCTTAATTTCCTCCTGAATCAGATTCCCATCTGTTATAGTCGTTCTCAGACATCTGAACTGTGCCACATTTTCAAAACATCTGTTACTATATATATATATATATCCTGATTTTGCCCTGCATTTTGGTGACGAGACAGTAACATATACTTAGTTTTCTCTGTGTTTACTTCTAGGGTAACCTCCTTACCAGCATAAATTAAAGTTTGTGTGTTTCTCTTTATGGCCTCTACATTATCATCCAGTAGTTCACATCATCAGCATAGACCAACAGCTGATGTGTCCCATTCAATTTCAGTCTCACCTAGTTTTCCTGAATCTTCCCAATGGCATATGCTAAAGCAAAGTTGAAAAGCAATGGTGATAAAGCATCTCCTTGTTTTAGACCATTCTGGATAGAAAAATTATAAGACAAATATATACCTATACGGACTCTACTATACGTTTCGTTTAAATACATTTAAACCAGCCTAACCAGTTTAATGGGTACCCCAAACTATATGTGAATATTGTACGATTTTTTTTTATTACTAGTGGGGTTGGACTAAGTCCCTTGTACTGCGGCCACTGCTGGCCTATTGTACCAGCCCCAGACGATAGGTGAGGGTGATTGTGGAGCAATTGGTGGAATGAAGATTGGCAGGGGAAACCGAAGTACTCGGATAAAACCTGCTCCAGCGCCACTTTGTCCACCACAGATTATATTGTACGATTCTTCCCTCCTAACTGAATCATAGGTCCAATCTCCATAAGCTAATTAATTCTATTTGGAATAAAGAAAATTTGCCCTATCAGTGGAAGGAGTCTATTATTGTACCAGTTCACAAGAAGGATGATAAAACTGACTGTAGTAATTATCGTGGAATATCGCTGCTACCAACTTCATACAAAATTTTATCCAATATTCTTCTCTCAAGGTTAAATCCATATATAGATGAAATTATTGGGGATCATCAGTATGGGTTTCGACGTAACAGATCAACTACTGATTCGATCTTTTGCATTCGTCAGGTACTGGAGAAAAATGGGAGTACAAGGAGACAGTACATCAGCTATTCGTAGACTTCAAGAAAGTGAAAAGGAGCATATACTTACAAAAGGACTGAGAAAATTTTACGTTATAATTGGCGAATTGAAATTATACACACCGACTCTATATGACTTTGGCTTTACGAGATAATTCACAACCAGCTATCTTGTGTACCGTATGTGAGTACAATTCAGTCAAATGCAAAATCTGAATCCGATTATGACATTTCAATAGGCTTAGCTTGCTAGTTTGTGTGTGTGTGTGTTCTCTCAGACCTTCCACAATTTCTTCAGATTCAAAATACTTTTATCATCACGTGTCATTCTTCAGCATATGAACTCTACAGCATAGTTAAGTAATTAAAATTACATAAATAATTTAATTGTAACAGGTAACTAACTCCATAATGCAGAGTCTTTCAGCTAGTCAAGAAATTCTCCGCCTTTTATGGAACCCGAAAATTCACAAAAAGTTCCCCATTGGACGCTATCACGAGAAAGATGAATCCGCTACGTGGTAACAGAAAACGAAATTTCAAAACCTGATATATATGACACGATCTCAGCCTATAATTTAAAATCCTCGCAACAAATTTTACTATAATCCGTCATACTTACCTATTGCATGGCTGTTGGTACTCCGCGACAGCGGCGCCAAGGAAGCAAATCGTCACTGCACAGAGTATGATATCAGCGTCTGCTAGCACGACCATGGCGTCCCGTTTGGTACTGACTGCGTCCGAGAAGGAAATGCAGTATATACATTCGCGCAGCACCGCCCTCATTGGCTGTTCTTATCACTATGTTTCTACGTAGACCAACGTTGAATTATAAAATAACCCGGTAATGAGGAGCAGCTCCTCGCTTTCTCTTCCCTCAGACTTCGTCCCCAAAGATTATTATTATCTTCATAACAATTGCTATATCTATCTAGCAGGTACGATATATTGCTTCAGTTACTGCTGGTGATAAGGAGAAGCGTGCGAAGCTTATCTGTCAACTGTCCTATGTAGTGTGGTGTAATAATCTGCTCGATTTATAAGTACAAGGCAATTGCAAATTTCCCCTCAGTAATACCAACACGCCAGCTTTTCAAACTGCCGAGGAGAACCCTTAATATTTCTCGAACGCCTACACCAATGTTTATGAAACTTTGTATATATACAATGCCACATGAGCCCATCTCAATAGATTTCATCATAGATCCATATCATCAGTAATACTTACACTACAGCTTCTCAAATGTTTAGGTAATACCATTAATATTACTCGAATGCCTTAACCCAGTGGTTCTCAAACTTTTTACCTCTGAGCCGCCCCTGACAAGAGAAAATACTCTCAGGCCTCCAGCCTGTTTTTTTTAATCAAAATAGAAGTCATGGTGTTTGACGTTTTATTCAGTTTATTTTGCGTTTTTCTACATACTATTTAGCAGTTTTTTTACTCAAAATTAAAGTATCACAATATTAGACCTACAATAGAAATTAGTTTTAACACTTGCAATTAACCAAAATATGTACTGAAATGAAATGATATTTAACTAACAAGTATTTAATTTTTTTCTGCAAAGAAAATCAAACATTTAAATGTCAAAGTTCAGTGTGATGGTTGGGCCTGCTTTTGAGAACCAAGTTTATCAAAACGTGGTGTAATATCAGAAATGGCCACTCTAACTTCTTTAGCAATATTTAGCCCTGAACGATACTTTGACTTTATAGCTGCCAAAGCAGAAAAGCCTGTCTCGCACAAGTAAGTTGTTGCGAAAGGAATCAGGATCTTCAATGCTTTTTGGCTCAAAGTTGGGAATTCCTTGCCAATATGT